GACGCTGTCTTGCGAAAGTACGACGGCGCGGCCACCTCTGTTTAATATGACGGTGCGACGCACGCGTGTGTGAAAATGCAGCTAGGACCGCCCGGGACGATTGGCACCTTTGTCGACCGACTTGCAAGTAAAGCTGTTTTCTGCGCGCAGGTATTCCATGGCGACCAACATGCACGGCCCTTACTTAGACTCCACCTCTTTTGTCTGTTTTTGTGCTTGTGTGGTTTCTGCTTCTTTCCTTGCACCGGCGCAGGTGCGTGCCGCGACCGGCCGCTGGAGCTCGGCGTTGTCTTCAACGCCGATGAAAAGTCTACAGAGTTGACCACAAGTGCATGGCATTCAACTCCACACACTTGAATGCCATGCGGTTCCAGTGCATACAAGTGCAGTGTACAAGTGACTATGCAACCATGTAAGGGCATACATTTCTCCAAGTGCATACAGTTCGATTACAAAGAATCAAGTGCATGGAGTCAACGCACGGCAAATCGATGCTTTCGGGCCATCCCTCTTCTAGTTTAAAAGGTGTGGCTCAGCTTGGCTTCGCAAATACTGTAAAAAGCAGCATTTCTGCGTTTAGAGAGGCTGCAAATACTGTAAATAGCAGCATTTCTGCGTTGTCAGAGGCTTCAAATACTTCAAATGGCAGCATTTCTGCGTTGTCAGAGGCTTCAAATACTGTAAATAGCAGCATTTCTGCGTTGTCAGAGGCTGCGAATACTGTAAATAGCAGCATTTCTGCGTTGTCAGAGGCTGCAAATTCTGCACCAATACTATAAATAGCAGCATTTCTGCGTTGTCAGAGGCTTCAAATACTGCAAATAGCAGCATTTCTGCGTTGTCAGAAGCTTCCAAGACTGTAAATAGCAGCATTTCTGTGTTGTCAGCGGCTTCCAATACTGTAAATAGCAGCATTTCTGCGTCAGAGGCTTCAAGTACTGCAAATAGCAGAATTTCTGCGTTGCGTTGGCTGCAAATACTGTACGTAGCAGCATCTCTGACATCAAATGTATATAGCAGCATTTCTGGGTTTTTCAGACGCTGCAACGAAGGGCATTAAATCGCAGCATTACTGTGTTTTCAGAGGCTTGAGATACTGTAAATGGCAGCATTTCTGCGTTGTCAGACACTGCAAATACTGTAAATAGCAGCATTTCTGTGTTTTCAGAGGTTGGATATAAATCATATGCTCTTATATAAACATGTAAATATAAATAAATAATATATACACATATATATATATATACAGTTATTTGTTGATTTATATTGATTTTTCCAAAATTGTATACGATAATATGCTATTTAGTATTGTATATATATATATAGATATATAATACACTATCTAGTATATGTATATGTATATGTATGCTATGTAATATGTAAATGTATCTATGTATATGTAATATGATATATATGTATATGTATATGTATATGTATATGTATATGTATATGTATATGTATATGTATATGTATATGCAATGTAAATGTATATGTATATGTAAAAGCGGGGGGTTTGGGGGGGGGGGCGCAGCCCCCCCCCATTTGCAAACTCAATGCTTGCATGTAGGTTTCAAGATTCATATGCTTTGAAGCAAGCTTGCACGGCTTAAAAAAGCGGGGGGGTTGGGGGGGGCACAGCCCCCCATTTGCAAACTCAATGCTTGCATGATGGGTTTCACTCGAACTCGAACTCGATTCCGCAGCGGTCTGGTCTGACCTACTAGCTAGCTGTAGTTCATGACATATGTCACGGCCGCTCTGTGGCGGCGGCTAACAGCTTCGGGTATGGACAGCAAGAGACGTCCCGCAGGAACCGGAGTTCAACTAGACTGCAGGCAAAAACGGTGTCAAGCGCAACAGAGCCTACCTGGACCTACCGTGAACAGGAAAGAAACACGTGCTCACAAACTCAAAAAGGACGGTGTATGTACAAGGGATACTATTCTACGGCCGGTCTCACAGTTCGCTCACTCACAGGGCTAAACAGTGTGGGCACACTTGTGCCGCAGATGTCCTGGGGCCGATGAGGGTGCGGCACCCCTGTGCTGATGGAGCAACGCATGACTGCATATGGTGGCATGGTTGAGAATAGGACTCGGTACACTAAAGAAGAAGAGCACAAAAACACTCAGGGAGAGTGTAGCTATCTCATTTTCTCATCGCTCAAGACTCCTTAGCAGGGCGACCCGGACATGAAGTGCCGGTATCATGGCTCTGTGGCCGAAAGGTCGGCTTCACATGTGCCTTCCCTGTACATAGGAACAGAGACAAAGATTCAGACAGGGTTGCAAGCCTGTCCCCCCGTGCACCCTAGATGGGGGTGCACCCCCACTTTTGTGAGAAAAATAAGCTCTCATCGTCAGGCCGATCCGCCTTCCCCAGCAGGGGGCCTGCGGATGCAGCCAAGCACATAACAGTTGGACTGGATTTCGGGACTTAAGGTTTCAAGCCTTTCCGATGCGACACCGTCGTCCATGTACCAGGCATCTGTCCTGCCCGGTATCAAGCCAACGGTTCTGTAGTGCCCTGTGAGAACTGATTCACCCAGATGCACAATGATGGAAATGAGGTCATAGGCAAGCCAATCACACGCTATGCTGCTTTCATTTCGGAAGATCGGCAGGTGGACACAGCGATTGTTGAATGTAAGAGGCACACGGGTCTTCCTCGTGACACCATTGGTCGTGGTATATCTAGGTAGAACAAGGAAAATGTGAGTCGGAGCTGTGCATAGCGCATGCGGTTGGGCCTGCAGGTGCCAGCTAAGGATGAGGGTGTCCAGCTCCCCGTCTTGGATACCTCCAGGTGCTGCCAGAAGTAGCAATGGTGCAGCGGGCTCCCTGATTTCAGTAGTGCATCCCTCCTCAACCGCAACTCTCGCCTCCCAGTGAACGAGGCTATCAGTCCAAGCAAGCTTAGGGATGATGAACTGTATGAATTCACTCACATCATGCTGTCTGTTGGGCTGCGCCCAGCCTAGCATGTACATGCGGAGAAACATGGCTGCATCCCAGTGCGTTTTGGCAAGTGCCTTCTGCCAAGCATCGGGTATGCGGCTCCCCGGCCTGAGCTGTGCTTGCCACAGGGTGGCAGTTATGACGGAGTTGATGTAGCAAGTGTTGCCACTATTTTTAAGCTTGAGGCGAGAGACACTCGGCACACCAGCAGGTGGCCGTGCACTTCCTGCAGCGCTCAGATGTTTTCCAGGGCCTTTTGCAGTGCCATTGCCAGTCCGTGGCGTTGCTGGTTTGGCGGCTGCAGTTGCGCTCCCACCACATTCCACACCGCGCAGTTGGCCAACTGTCGCAGTTTCTGATGCAGGATGTTTGCTCTCGGATCTCGCATGGCTACTTCGATGAGGAACACTGCTTTGTCGCCTTCCTGGGGCTCTTGCTTGGGACGCCTTTGGGCGCAGAACCTGGTGACCAGATCCGGAAGACACAGCTCGGCGACCTGGTTGATGAGCTCCGTCGCTTCTTCCACCTTCAGGCTCTTGGCTGTCGCCGACGGCTCCACCTGTTTGGTGGCCGAGTTCCACTCCTGATACACGAAGCGCTTCTGTTGGTCGAGCCACTGATGCTTCATCGCATTCTCCACGGCCGTGGGATCTCCCACCATCAGTTGGACTCTTGCCACGACCTCTTTCAGCAGGAGGCCCAGCGCAACGATTCTCATCGGGGGGACGTTCTCTCCTTTCTTCTGTTTTTGTTGCCATTCCTGCCCCGCTTTGAAAAGCGGCAGCAATATGGTTCCTGGGCCTTGTTGCTGGAGGTGGAAAGTGAAGGATGTGTCCAGGCGTAGACGGTTCAGGGCGTCCTCCTGTTGCAACGACAGATTTGCCAGGAGCGTCACCACCGAGTTCAGGTTCTCGTCTGCAATTTGTCGCCGGCCTCCCCGCTATCCTCGCCGGGCCGCTTTGGGTCGCTTGTTCGGTGCGTTCTCGGTCTCCCGGTCCATTTCTCTCGGCTGCTTCGAGGTCTCTCTCATGTTCGTCGCTAGCCCTGGTAGTAGGTTGCCGAAGACGCTCACCACTTCCGTCGTCATGTTCACAGTGTAGTCCTATCAGGGCACATTGGAAGATCACATTGCATTGGAAGTAATGTCTGGAGGGGGAGGACCTGTCACACCACGGGCAGGTGCCATTTCGGAGGAGTCGGGGCTTGACCTGTGCACATCGCTCCTCAAGTTTGCCGTTGGCGGTGACTGCCCACACGTCCTTGTGGGCCCTAACTATGTGTCGCTTCAGAGCCGTGGGATCGGCGATCCATCGCTTGCAAACACAGCAGTGTTGCTTGAGGGACGACACAACATCGGCATCTAGCAGACTTTTCCAGCCTTGTTGCCGAGCAACATCAAGAACCGGCTTTTGGGCTATGGGAGGCGGCTCATTTGCAGTGGCATCCTCTGGAGCTTTTGGATTGGTGCTAGTATCGGCTTCGGGGCCGACCGCGGCTCCCTGAGTACTGCATTCCGGATAAAGAACAGGGCAGTATCCTTTTTCAATATGTGCTTTAAGCCCAATCCATGCCCCGTATTTGAATTTACAGAAGGCACACTGGGGCAGACCGTTCAGTGCGTGGTTTGCCGGATCAAAATTGAGCAGTTCTGGCTTATCTTCTGGGTGCTTCCATGCCTTATGCTGTCGGAGGCTAGTGATAGTGCGAAATTGCTGACTGCAATGCGGACAGGTATAAGGGTCTGACTCCTTATCTTCAGGAAGCTGCTCACCTGCGTTCATCGAATGGAGTGAGTTGATAGCCAGCGCGAGCTGCGCCCGGACCTGTGGAAGGGCCCTAATGTCGCTGGGGCACTCTGCTGCAACTGTCTCAAGTGCGTCATGCATTCTCTGGCCTTGGTGCGCGAGCGCCTGCAGGGGGTCCTCAGCATTGAGATGTTTCTGGATCTGTTCATTGGTCACTAGGGTAAGATGCGCCGGCTTTTTGGCAATAGCCCGCATCTGTCTGGCAGCCATTGCACGAAGATGCTTGCGTCCTGTGGGTCTAACGCCCACCGCCAGTAGCCCGTGCGCTGCTGAGCTCCACACCCCGGCTCTCCAGATTTGGTACCTGGGACGGTTGTGCGTTACGCGTCTGGAGTTGATGGCTTTGCGAAGCTGGCTATATTGACCCCTCGCCTTACGCATACGTAGCTGAACAGTTTTCTCCTGGGCATCTCTATAGGAAATGACGGTACCTAGGTACTGATGTGTTTTCCTGAGAGGGATCAGAATCTGCTCGCCGTGTTGCATGAAGGCAAGGTGTGGGAGTTTGTCCTTAAAGACTTTAAGTTTCTGCAAAATCCTAATGGCATCTGCTCCCTTGGCGTGACACAGCACGACCGATTTGGTTGCGCTGAGAGTCATACCGTGGTCGTTAAAGGTTTGCACGACTTTTTGGATGCCGCAAATGGCACCCTGAAGGTCTTCGGCGCTTTTTAACGTCCATGCAGCTAAGGCGTCGTCGGCGTAAAAAGTGAACAGCTGCGTTACCCAGTCCCAGCCCAGGCGCTCCGCTAGTGTGTCAATGATAGCAATTGTGTGTGCCACAAACAAATACGGCGCGACCGTACAGCCTTGTTTGATGCCTCGTGTGGTCGTGACGTGGTCCTCATGAACGCCAACTGAGCAGTGATACCTTGCCTCAAAATGGAACTGCATAAGGAGTTGCACCAGCGTGTCGGAGACCCCTAGGCGTCTCAGGCTAGTGGCAAGGGCAGTGCGAGGTACATTGTCGAATGCCCCCTCAAGGTCAAGGGAGAAGCATATGCCTCCTGCGCATTTAACCTGGGTGGCTCCGGCGTGAAGGTCATATATGCTTTGTTTGCTGAGGGTCGCATACGCACGTGCCTCTCTCAGGTGGTTATGCACTCTCAGTAAGGCGTCTAGAACCCCTCTGCCGGCAGTATATGCAAATTGCGGTCGAGTGACCAGCGCTTCCTCAAGAAGTGGTCGGATGTGTTCTCTCAGCAGAGCACATACCGATTTCGAGAGAGGGTGGGAGAGTCCTATGGGACGAAGCCCGGACGGGCGGCTGGGGTCTTTCTGTGGTTTAGGCAACCATACGAGGTATGTGTCTTTCCACACGTGTGGGATGACGCAGAGGGAATCCTCCCCCCAGGATCGCATCAGGATGGGTTCCAGCGTTTTGGCTACCTGGTCACGGCACAATCTCCAAACTGCTGCCGGGGCCGACATCTTCGGCACCCCTTTGCGAAATGGTAGTTTTCCTAGAGCCCAAACGAGGTCTTTGGCCTGAACAAGAATGGGTTCAGTGACTCGGTGATTGGGCAAATAGTCTTCTCCCTGACAAAACTTGTTTCTGCTGTGCTTAATGAGCTCAGCCAGTTGTTCCTTGGGAGTGAGGATTTCTCCCTTTTCGCTGCGGATGTGTGTGCGCGCGAAGGGTTTCCAGGGAGCTAATTTTCTAGCGCTCATCCACACTTTCCTTTGATCGCCCTTAGTGGCAGCAACTTGTAGGTCCTCGGCGACAGCCTGCAGCTTTTCACGTTTAATTTTCTTGGCAGTTTGTTTCATCGCTTTAGAGGCCACGCGAAACTCAGTGTACTTTTTCCATTTCCGGAGAGTTTCGATTAAGCTGTTCGCTTTGGTGGATTTCCATTCCTTGTACTTAGCCCACATCTCTTTCGCGGTGTGTTTAAACTGCGGATTCTGCGAAACGCGGTTGTCAACTTCAGGTTCGGGAGGGTAGACGGTTTGCATGTGTTCTTTCATGATCTCATCCACCTGCCGCGTAAAGCTGTGAAGATGCAAGTCAGGGTCCAGCTTCTGAATATCCGCGTCGATGAGGTGCTTTAACTTCTTAGCCCGATCATCTGCCTGCGCAATGGAGTCTTGGATGCATTGCCTAGACGCCATCGAAGGTTTGACTGGGTTCGGGAGACGACATGGCGCGACTCTACGGATGTGAGCCTGCACTGGGATGTGGTGATTGGTCTTCCACTTTCCGAGGGCGACTTGATGCATGGGTCTGCTGTGTCTAGCAGTGCGAGTCGCGTGCTGAACCCTACACGCAACGAAATCCAATTGTGTTTTGGTGCCTTGGTGCACGCACGTATGTGCCGGAGTGCAGTTCCACGTATTGAGGAGAGTGAGGCCGAAGTCCTGGAGTATTCCGAGAAAGTCATCTTCGTCAGGCGATCCCTCTACTTTGGCTACAACGGCACTACCAATCAATCCCCTCGAGGTTTTGATGGAGCAGTTGAAGTCTCCCGCAATAATCAAGTCGTTCCGTTGTGGACTCTTCATGATGCTAGACCGCATCGCATCCCAGATTGAGGCCCGAGCTTTCAGGTTCTCGGCTTTGTCAATGTTTGTCCTCCACACATGCTGGTAGACATTCAGAAGATCGGAGCCGTTCTGCTGGTGATGCAGTCGAACCGAGAGTACTCTGCCTTGCCTAAGAACCCTGTAGCTAACATTATCTTGCTTACAGACATTCTGATGGATCAGAGTGGCAACTCCTGAGCATTTGTCTTTGCCTGTAGCCCCTGAGGAGACGACGAACCAGGGGCCGGACGAGAAAGTGCGGCACCCCTCCTGTTTCCAGTGTGTTTCCTGCACGAACACAATGTCAAAGTCATCTGGTTTCTCACTTAACCATGACATGAGTTCTTGCCAGGCCGCCTGCGACCCCCCGCTCATGTTCCAGGTGAGACATCTAAGGTGAGATGCTTTGTCAGATTTGGGATGCTTTGTGGGTTTAGCCGGCCGGTCATTCGGCCCCAGCTGGTGTATGCCCCCTGTGGTTTTTGTCAGTGTTTCCCTAGTGTACCATGTGCCCTTATAGTGAGTGCCGCCTGTGGCATAGGCTCGTGCGCGAGCTCGTCGCAGCGATCTCTTGGCGATCCACCCGATGCTGTTGTGGTGATTACGTATTGCCTGGCCAGTGTCTTCGCCCATTCTATTGGACTGTTGGGGCCGATGTTGTGTGGCTCCCACCACGGTACTGGAACCCGTGGTAACCCTCACGTCTGCTCGACCCCCATTTGCTGTCACGAAGCTTCCACAAAGGATAAGAATCCACATCCAGAAGAGACTTCGAAAGCTTGGGGCCCAGCCGCTGGACTTGGGACCAGCGCGGCTCGGTGATGTGCGTCTGGCGGGCTCACCCATCTGTGTTGTAGATAGGTTAGTAGTGCACGTGGCATGTGTGCTGAGGATGTAGGGTCTCCTTCTGTAGCAACCTCTGATTCTCCTGGTGCAGAGCCATTTAGTTAGTCTATCTCTTTGCAACGATAGAAGCCTGCCTGCATAACCTTTCCCACCGACCAAAAACACTCCCAGCAGAAGAATGTGTCCCCATCTTAACCTAGCGTACTGACTCTCGGGACCTGGGACATCTCGTCGATCATATTCCTGCAGCAGAGGCGAGGGGTTGGTGCGTATGCATTGGGTAGAGGAGACGGTGCAACGGATGCGATGATGCAACACAACCCCCGTGTATGCTCTCTGAGCTGCAGTGCGGTCTTGGTCACGGTCACTGGGGGCCGAAGATCGGCTTCCCCTGGAGGACCGGAAAGAGTGAGACCGAACAATGGCCTGCATGACGATGTCAGCAGCCGGTGGCCCCTCTGAGCCAAAAACTTCTTCTCCCGATGCCAGGATCCTGACGGCCTTTATACAATGCGGGGCCAGCTTGCCATCGGCACCCCGGGTTAAGTAGTAGCCGTTCATTGAACGGAACCAAACGGCCCCCGATTCTTTCGGGGAGAGTATGATTGCGATGTCACAATGCGCGGGGTAATTCCGATATTCACTTCTGTCTACTGAAACGCAATGAATGTGTGTCCGGGACTGGGAGAGGCCTCCCGTGATGATGCCCTTCGCCAAGATCGAGCCGTAGAAGTCCCAGTTGGTTGCATGGAGGACGTACTCCGGCAACTCGGCATCCCCAAGGGGCCGCATGACCGCTTCATCACGTAGTCCTTTCTTGGAGTGACCTTGAACCGCCCTGATGTAGAGATCGGCACCGCGCCATTCGAGCGCGAAGCGTTGCTTGTCGTTCCAGTAGACCACCGAGCGGATGTAGTTGAGGGTAGCCCCCTTCTCCTTCATGATGGAGGTGCGTAAAAGGTCTGACACCTTGGTCCACCCTGCCTCGTCGAACGTCAAGCCGAAGTCTTCAGAGTCGTGCCTCAGAACAACTGACAGTCTTTTGGAGAGAGACTGATCCAGTTTCCAGTAGAGCTTCGTCGGCTCCCCAAGGGGGGCCGAATCGCGTGCTGGCGTGGGCAGAGAGGTGCCATCACTGCTGGCGTAGGTCGTCTCCGTGTAGATGTCGTATCTCTCGACCCTGCGCGGGGAGTGGGGGATGCTGTCAGATTGATTTGGTGGCGTTTGCCCCGTAGGGTAGTCAACCTCCATCTCCACATAGGCATCAGATGAAGCCAGCTCGGCAGTCCGGGTTGCAGGAGCCGTGTTTCCCATGTGCTTGGAGGTCCTGTCCGGCATGTCATCATCTCTGCTGTCCTGGCTGGTTTGGTCCTGAATTGCCACTCGGACAATTTGCTCATCATCCTTCAGTTGCTCGGTGGGGAAGTAGTAGTCGAATTTGATTGCCAGGTCTTGATGACTATCGAACCAATGGATTTGTTCATGCAGCGACATGGGGACTCCCTCAAACAGTGCGATTACGCTGTGCAGCATGCCGGCGAACTGGGTGAGGATGGGCTCGAAGTCCGCATCTTTTGACAGGCTCCATAGCCAGCATTCCACTGCCGTGCCGAAGGTGGAGTGGTTCGCGTAATTGAGCTTGTCTCTGGAAATCAGGCACATGACAAACGCAAGGTTCCAATTGCCTGCGGCCGGGATGATCTTCAGGGACTCCGAGTGGTGGAAGTCGTCATGATGCTTGACGAAGTGCCCCATTTCGAAGAAAGTTTTGAACATGAGGGCGACCTTCTTCTTGCGCAGGACATTGATGTCATCTTCGATTATGGCCAGCAGGTTCCATTTCTCACGCACGGCTCTCAAGGATTGTGGGGGTACACTGTCTCGGGCAGGGGGGACGAACTGCTTGAGGCCCTCGGAGACATGCTGGGCAGGGGCCGGAGGTACGGCTCCCTCCGTGGTAGGCCTCCTTTGCTCGCTCGAGCTGCTAGCCTGCTGTCTCTTCTTTGGCGATGCCGGTGGGTCCGGCGGTTTCTGCCGGAACCACCATTCTCCCTGCCACCAGATCTTGAGGTAGCCCTCGTCGTCTTCCGTCGCATGTACTTCGTGCCGGTCACTGGTGTCAAACTGGTAGTCCTCGTCGTCTTCGTCCTCCTCGTCGTAGTACCAGTCCTGATGTTGATCCCGGGGCCGAGCGTCGGCTCCCCGCGCATTCTGCCAGTGTGGCTGTCGGCTCTCGCGATCGGCCGCTTGTCGCCAGGGCTGCTGATTCATCTCCTGAGCACGGGGGGCCGCAGTGTCGGCTCTCTCCCTTTGATTGCCAGGGGCATTGCGGCGAGCACTGCGGGCAGCCAGTTCATTGCGGGTGCGCCTCCTAGTGCCGTCGGGCCTGACCCGAGCTCGGGGATATCGATGCCACTTTTGATCTGACATGCTATCGGCAAAGACACCACACATGTATATGCTGATGCAATCAGGCGTGGCGTGCATCATGTTCCTGCAGCCCGGCAACCACTCTACAACACGGATCTCCATTCTCGCACTTAGAAACCCCGAGGTCCTCCCACAGGTGCCTTGTGTAGGGCCGAATACGGCACCCGCAGCTCTTCGGTTTGAAGTGACCTGGGCAGATAGTCCGGGTTTGGGGCAGGCATGACATCTGCGAGTGTCAGGCAATGGGAGTACAGTCGGGTGCAGGGCCATGCATCCTGCTACACCGAGTTTCCCACTTCGGGTACACTGCACCTGGGATGCGAGCATGTTAAGGATTTGACTGGGTATCAGGGCTGGCGTTCCGTGCCGAACATAGCTAACTGCGACAGGGCACATATTCCACATACGTCTACGGTGAGGCCCTCGAAGAGTTAAGGAAGGCCTTCGGTAGATGCCTCTAACAAGCATCAGTTTCGGCCTGCAAGGTCTCACACTTAGAAGTTCTGCAGCCTTCTTTCGCCTCTTCCTAGGAGGTAGGCTGCGAATGTCTCCGAGAAGTCTGGTGATAAGGCCCGCACATGAACCTGTGGAGATTGCGTACGCCACAGCATTACTCGATATGCCCACCTTGCGACCCTTAGGTTGTGGTGGCGGCTCTGAGTCTGTCGAGAGTGAGTCATCGGTGCCCGGTCCTTGCGCAGGGCTGGAGGATTGACCTGGGCCATCGGCTTCCCCAGGGCTGGGGCCGATTGTGGGACTGTCGGTCCTGTCCCCTGGGAGCATGTTTGTCTCATGTGCGGAGCTCTCTGATTCGCTCCAGTCCAGGAGCCCTTGCGCGCTCCTCGGCACTCCATGGATTCTGTCACTTGAAGAGGAACTAGCGAGCGGTGGTGATGAGAGCTGCAATGAGGGGGGCAAAGATGGAAGCTTTGGTTGTTTTGGGGGCGGGGTTGGAGCTTGAGGTCCTCTCTTATTTCGTGCGCTGGCTTTGAAGCTGGCTCCCCGAGGGGCCGTTGACTGCACGTAGTGGGATCTGGCCGACCAGTGCGCCTCATGGCACTGTCGTAGGCGGGGATGCATCTGCGGCAAAGGATGACTGTGAAAATCAAGTGCAGAGCGAGATTCATGGTTTGTCTGAGATCAGGCTGATAAGAGTCTTTGCAAGTTGTTGCTCAAGTGCTACACACAACAACGGGAACCTGACAGAAATGATGGCCACCAGCTGAAGTCCCTGTTCTCTCGGTAGAACCTCAAGGATCGCTGGCACAAGTTCGTCTGCAGTATCCTGATTCCACAGCTGCCCCGCGAGGTCCAAGGCACTGTCAATGTCAATAGTGTCTTGACTTTTCAGCAAGCAGTCTGCAACCAGTTCCAGAGCCACAACGCGAATCTGAGTAACAGGCAGAATGGCTTCTAATGGTGAGAAGAGTACAGAAATCACCGAAGGGGCACTACGGTCTACTAGTGGGGGTCCGCTATACGAAACGCTGAGAGCCGAGACGCTTATGATGGGTTTCAAAAAGATTCATATGCTTTGAAACAAGCTTGCACGGCTTAAAAAAGCGGGGGGGTTGGGGGGGGCGCAGCCCCCCCCATTTGCAAACTCAATGCTTGCATGTAGGTTTCAAGATTCATATGCTTTGAAGCAAGCTTGCACGGCTAAAAAAAGCGGGGGGGTTGGGGGGGGGCGCAGCCCCCCCATTTGCAAACTCAATGCTTGCATGATGGGTTTCAAGATATGCTTTGAATGCTTTGAAGCAAGCTTGCACGGCTTAAAAAAAGCGGGGGGTTGGGGGGGGGCGCAGCCCCCCCCATTTGCAAACTCAATGCTTGCATGTGGGTTTCAAGATTCATATGCTTTGAAGCAAGCTTGCACGGCTTTAAAAAGCGGGGGGTTGGGGGGGGCGCAGCCCCCCCCATTTGCAAACTCAATGCTTGCATGTAGGTTTCAAGATTCATATGCTTTGAAGCAAGCTTGCACGGCTTAAAAAAGCGGGGGGGTTGGGGGGGCGCAGCCCCCCCCCCATTTGCAAACTCAATGCTTGCATGATGGGTTCAAAAAGACTCATATGCTTTGAAACAAGCTTGCACGGCTTAAAAAAGCGGGGGGGTTGGGGGGGGCGCAGCCCCCCCCATTTGCAAACTCATGCTTGCATGTAGGGTTCAAGATTCATCGCTTTGAAGCAAGCTTGCACGGCTTAAAAAAAAGCGGGGGGGTTGGGGGGGGCGCAGCCCCCCCCATTTGCAAACTCAATGCTTGCATGTAGGTTTCAAGATTCATATGCTTTGAAGCAAGCTTGCACGGCTTAAAGAAGCGGGGGGGTTGGGAGGGCGCAGCCCCCCCCATTTGCAAACTCAATGCTTGCATGATGGGTTTCAAAAAGACTCATATGCTTAGAAACAAGCTTGCACGGCTTAAAAAGCGGGGGGTTTGGCGGGGCGCAGCCCCCCCCATTTGCAAACTCAATGCTTGCATGTAGGTTTCAAGATTCATAATTATACTTTGAAGCAAGCTTGCACGGCTAAAAAAAGCGCGGGGGTGGGGGGGGGGGGGGGGGGGCGCAGCACCCTAAACCCTAAACCCCAAACCCTAAACCCTAACCAATGCTCGCCTCATAAAAGCAGGGGGGGTTGGGGGGTGGGGGGACGCAGCTTTGCCCAGCCTAAAGACAAGCGGGGGAGTTGGGGGCGGCTGCGCCCCCCGCCCCCCCCCAATTGCAAACACCATGCTCGCATCATGGGTTTGGCACTCCGGCAGCGCAGCTAGCTACTCCAGGGTTTGCAATCTCTGTGTGTGTGTGTGTATATGAATATAATATATATATATATATATATATATATATTTTTTTTATATGCATGTATATTATTTTCCTTAATTTATTCATGTAGTGATATTTCTAATTTATAATGTAGTTATATGGTGATGCATATGGTACATACTTTATATAACATATTTTGTATATATGGCCTATTATATACATATATATTTATGTATACATATATATATATACGTTATATGCGCACATGATCCAGATATATGTATATATGTATATGTGTATGTATATGCAAAAGTATATACACACACATACACATGCATGCATGCATGCATACATGCATGAATGCATAGATACGTACATACATACATACCACGGGACGACCACAGGACCAAGAAAACCGCGGGACCGGGAGGACCAGACAACCGCGAGACCGCGGGACCAGGGGACCAGGGGACCAGAGGACCAGGAGACCAGGGACCAGAAGACCAGAGGACCAGGCGACCACGGGACCAGGAGATTAGGGAGCAGAGGACCAGAGGACCAGAGGACCGGAGGACCAGAGGACCAGAGGACCAGAAAACCAGAGGACCAGAAGACCAGAGGACCAGAGGACCAGAGGACCGACCACGGGACCAGGGGACCACAAGACCAGGAAACCAGGGACCAGAAGACCAGAGGACTACGGGGCAGGGAACCCGCGGGGGGGGGGGGGGGGGGGGGTAGGAGCCACACCTTTTAAAAAAAGGAGGGTGGAGCCACACCTTTTATAAAAAAGAAACCCTGGCCCACCCTAAACCTGAACCCTAAACCCTAAACCCTAAGTTGAGAACTCAGTCCCGTTGGCCACCGTCGAGGCTCTTAAGGGACCTTGGTGGCAAACCCTAAACCCTAAACGCTAACTCTAAACCCTAAACCCCAAACCCTGGTTTAGGGTTTAGGGTTTAGGGTTTAGGGTTTAGGGTTTAGGGTTTAGGGTTTAGGGTCTAGGGTTCAGGGGTCTTAGAGTCCAGGGCTTATAGAGTTCCCTACGTCCCTGTGGTTTAGGTGCCGTAAGCCGTTCTTGGAGGTAACACCCCCCCCGAAACCCTATAAACCCTATAAACCCCATAAACCCTATAAACCCTGTAAACCCTATAAACCCTCTCAACCCTATCAACCCTATAACCCTCCCCCCCCGGCCCCGCGAAAAAGAGGATCAAGCAAGAATTGCTTGCGCTGCACCATCCTCTTTTCTGACCTCCTGCCACCCTGAACCCAAAAACCCTAAACCCTAAACCCAAATGGGGGCTGGTAAACAAAACTGAAACTGAGATACCAATATGAGGGTTTCAGAAATTAGGGGTACCTTACTGGGGGTCCCGATTGTAAGGGACTCCTACTATTTGGGGATCTGAGCTGCCGGGGTCCCGTATTTTAGGGTTTAGGGTGTAGGGTTTAGGGTTTATTTTCGTAAAGGCCCCAAATAGGGCAGTTTCTTTCTTGTGGTAAGTTAGTCTTAAGTGCCTCGGCACATAAGAGCCCAGCCTGCCCGGAATTCTACCCTCAGGCTCCTTGCAGAGGGACGGGTCTCTCCTTGGGAGGGTTTAGGGTTTAGGGTTTAGGGTCTTGTGTATTTGAAAGATTTGAGGCTCAAGGCCCTTAGAACACATAGACCAGGGACACCAAACGCTGCACCCTAAACTCCGGGCCGTGGTACTGGAACTCCTAAACACTACAACCTGCGGGCTATGAATCGCCATTTTCTGAAATTACTTCAACATACCCCAAACCCAAACCCATACCCTACCCCTCAACCCTAAACCCTAAACCCTAAAACCTAAACCCTAAACCGGGGCTTGTTGAACACGTCTTAGATTTTTTGGCACAGCGTCAAAGGAACTCGGAACTGCACGCTGAATCCGATAACGGCGCCAGCCCTCCGGGCTCGCAGCACCCGCAGCAACAGAGCAAAAGATGTAGGGTTCAAGCCCGAATCCCGAAAACCCTAAACCCTAAACTAACCCTAAACCCCCTAACCCTAAACCCTAAACCCTAAACCCTAAACCCTAAACCCTAAACCCTAAACCCTAAACCCTAAACCCTAAACCCTAAACCCCCTAAACCCCCTACACTCCTGGGCTGCGGGGTCTTGCTGCAGGTTTACGGTATGCAGGGTCTCTGAAAAATTGGGGGGGGAATG